GTCCCGATTTTGGGGTCTTTTTCTAATATAGGCTCCTATTACCCCCCCACCCTCTGTCCCGATTTTTCACAGTTGCTGACTGGTCACCCTACTCCATGCCCCTTGCTGTCCATGGGGTACTGCCGCCCCTCTCTCCAGTACATACAGACTTCGCACCAACAGCGCCTCAGATCATTGTTTAATTCGTTAATTAATGACACAATTTTTGCGACAATCATCCACATAGTCGTCCTGCATGGCCCCACCCCATCCCCTCCTGGCCCCCACTCCCCAGCCCACCCATACAAAAGCAAAATCATATACAAAAATATACCCCCCCTTATAAAACCTTTCCTGCCCCCCCATGGGGAGTAATTGACCCCGCAACCACCACGTTCCAAAGTCACCCCCAATTAACAGCCCCTCCCCCAGGACATACCATTCAATAGGGACACCATCGAGCTGCGTGCTTGTGATTCACCTTCCGGCCCCGGATACCTGGGTCCGCATGGTACCCCTTGAACCTGCAGTTCGTGCTAATTCCCCCAGGTCCGGATGCCTGGGTCCGCATGCCAATCCCCCCCGCTTCCCCCTGCAGCCCCAGATGACTGGCTCTGCTTGTCCCCTCCATCACCAAAGCCCCTGCACCCCAGAATCACCCCCAGTCCCCTCCAAAATAACCTCTGTCAGGGCATTGTTGCCTAGCAGTGTCTTGATTAGCCCCGCTTCGCGTCCCTTTGGTCCCCAGTGTGGTGGTGGGGGGGGTCAGGGCAGCCGCCCCATATGGAACTAGCCTGGATAGCTGCTTTGGGGTCACACAGGGTGTGTTGTGGGAGAGAATTCTGGGTAATCTGCCCCAATAAAACCTGGTCCAAGAAGCAAAGGATTCTGGGTAACCCCCCCATGTAGCCCACCATGTGGTCCAGAGGGCAGGGGCTTTTCTCCCCCATCTTCTCCAAACCAACCCATGATGTGGCCCGGAGGATTCACTTCCATAAGCTCCCCCTTCCAAAGGAAGGGGTGGCCCGGCTGCCCCCCATCTCACTCCTAGGGGGGACACAGGGCCAGGGAGGTGGGGACGGACTTGGTTTTGGACCCTCCCAGAAAACAAATCAAGCAGCAGCACATTATCTCCCCTGCCCCACGTTCGCACCCCCCTGTTCAGCTGGAAGTCAGATGATGCCCCCGGAGGCCGGGGCCAATGAGATTCCGCCCACGGCGGTGTCTGGGCCATCCTCTATCCCTGGCTGCTGGGGCTGTGCGGCTGCCCCCCTCCCCCCAGCAGAGGTGTCTGT